TCATCCAGGCTGCAGTGCAGTAGTATGATCAAGTTCACTGTAACCCCTGCCTCCCTGGTTCAAGCAATTCTCTTGCCTCAGCCTCCCAGGTGGCTGGGATTACAGGCGCGCCCCACAACACCGGTTAATTTTTGTGTTTTTAGTAGAGATGGGGTTTCCCTGTGTTGACCAGGCTGGTCTTGAATCTCTGACCTCAGGTGATCTGCCCGCCTTGGCCCCCCAAAGTGCTGGGATTACAGGTGTGAGCCACTGCGTCCAGCCCCCAAATGCATGCTTTGATGCTGAAGGGAAGACCCGGCAGGGAGAGGGTGAAGATGCAGTCGGCAGGGTGGGGGCACATGAGAGGACAGAGCCCAGGGCGCCTGTGGACGGCTGGTTTTGGGGGCCCCTCTTCTGTGGTATCGGGAGAGAAATGGGAGGCGGGGGCTCATGTAAGTGGTGAATTTGGCCTTGGGAAGCTAAGAAAGGTCTTGTCTGACGATGCTCCCTTCCCTGCAAAGGGAGAGGTGTGTCAGGTGAAATCAGGGCCAAGGTTTTGGGGAGAGTTCTAAGCCGATGGAGACTGTGCATGGTGGCCACGGCGGAGAGCAGGCGAGAACCGACTTCACAAACATCTTGGGTCTGTTGGTGCCATTGGGAGCCCACTGGAGGGTGGTGAGCAAGAAGTTACAGCGCCATCATCAGCTCAGGTTGCTCACTGTGTTTCCTCCACCAATGCTGGGTGCTGTTGGCGTGGCCTGGAGCGGTTCATGGGGCAAGGCTTTGTCAGGAGAGTATGATGGGAGGGAGAGAGAGGGGAGGGAATGGGGGACTTTTGCAAAGGAGTGGCTCTCCTGAGGAACCCTTGACTCTCTGCTGGTTGAAGTGAGAAGCCAGAGGAGGGATGGCCTTGGGGGGCAGGTGGACAGAGAGGGAGATGGAGCAGGGCCTCGGAGTAGGTCAGTTTCAGGTAAATGACAAGGTCAGGGTGTGGCCCAGTAGTGGGAGGCTGGGGTGGAGGAAGTGGTCATCAAAGAGGAAGAGGACGAGGAACAAGAATGGCCAGTGGCGTACGGGTCCCCAACGCAGACGTGGAGGCTGCCTGGAATAATGAGAGGAAGGGGTGCAGAGCAAGACACGAGCCGGGGCTGAGCCTTCGGGAAAAGAGGGGGTGAGCAGGAGGCCAGCAGAAGACAGCGAGGAGGAGAGGGCGCTGGAACAGGATGCCCTGCGTCTCCAAAGATGTTCAGAAGGCGGGGGGGGGGGGGGGGCATAATTTCTGGAGGCTGCCATGGGGAGCCAGAAGGACACCAACCTCACTTCCTGCTCCTAAGATGTGTGGGGAATGTGAGAATACTAAGATCAAGGCTAGATGTGAGGAAGAATGTTCTGACCACACAGGACATGAGGCATGAAGACTGGCCATGAAGGGAGCCCTAGGAAGTATCTCTTTTCTTTCTGGGAGGCTTAGGAGCAGAACTGACCCCCACCCACCCTCCTTCACTTCCCTCTCCCCCAGGCTTTTTGAGGTCTGGTAGGCACTGCCTGGCGTCCTTTGATGTGGGTTTCATTCACTCTGCAAACCCGTTGAGCCCCAGGAGCTGGAGACCCGCGGGGAACAAAACAGAAGGAGGAGTTCACTTCCCAGCAGGAGGGGTTGTTTAGGTCTGTTGTTGGTGCAAAGCTGTGAGAAGGAAGAGTTACTCAGGGGTGCTGGAACTGGGATGTGGAGTGAGTTCAGAGGGTGAGTCACTCTTGCTGCTCAGGGGTGGGGAAAGGTGGGGTGGCAGTGGCGGGAAATGGGAAAAGGCCGGGACTTGATGTTTGAGGACGGGGGCTGTGTGGTCTTGAGCAAATCATGTGTTTTTTCTGTCCCTGACTCGGAAATCAGGGAAGAATCCCTCATTCCCTCATCGTTGTGGAATTAATTGAATGTGTTGTCCAAATAACGAAGAGCTATGCAAATGATCCTTATGCCATTCCTTAAGTAGCAGCCCCCCCCACCCCCCACGGTAGGTGTATTAAATACAAGACTATGTGTCAAAGGCCCAGCACAGTGGTAGGTGGCACTGGGTAAGTGCTGGGCACCCCCGTTAGTCCAGTCTCCGTTCAACGCAGTGAATTTGCCGCCATCTCAGGACCCTTGAGCTCCGCCGGGAAGGGGAAGGTAACTGTCCCAGGCAGAGGGCTGCAGTCAGGGTGCTGGGGCCAGCCATGGATCTGCCGGGCACTCACATTCAGGACCGTAGTCCCTTGGGGATGAGAGTGGAGCAGGAAGCCCCCTGATGAGGAAGGATTTCTGCCTGCTTCCTTCTCTCTTGCACCCCAGAGCCCTCATCCCTCCATTCATTGCGTACATTTCTATTGAGGGGCTACTGTGGGCAAAAGGGGCTTACAAGTCGGGATGGGGTGGAGAGCAAGGCAGAGGGGCATTTCCGGTCTCTCCTCTTGTGGGCTGGGTGGGTAGATGGGCCGTCCCGGCTTCCAGTTTCCACTTGGACTTGGCTTAGGCTACCAGGAGGGGGCCCAGAAACTCATTATTTTAAAAGCAGAAGTGGGTGCAGGGGCAGTGGCTCATGCTTATAATCCCACTGCTTTGGGAGCTGAGACCGAAGGATGGGCTGAGGCCAGAAGTTCGAGACCAGCCTGAGCAACACTGCAAGACCCAGCCTCTACAAAAAAAATGAAACAATTAGCCGGGTGCGGTGGGTGGTGCGCGCCTGTGGTCCCAGCTGCCCAGGAGGCTGAGGTGGGAGGATTGCTTGAGCCTGGGACGTGGAGGTTGCAGTGAGCCCAGATCGCGCCACTGCACTCCAGCCTGGGCGACAGAGCTAGACCTCATTATCTACCAGAAAATGGAAAAATACTCCAACGCACCCCACTTATCCTTCTTGGATTCCGGGGTTGCCGCCGATTGCCGCCTCCTCGCCGGGACTCGAAGCCGAGGAGGGCGCGTGCGGGGCGGGGCGGGGCGGGGCGGGGCGGGGCACCCCGGCTGCACGTCCGCGCCTGGCCGCGAGGGGGCGCGGCAGGACGGGGCCGCCAGCCGGGCTGCGGGTGCGGCAGGGCGGCGCGAGGATGATTCAGCCTCCCCGGGTTGGCCGCGCCCCCTCCGCTGCTCGCTTCCCGCCCCGGCCGCGCCCTGGCCGCCGGCTCGCCCTGACCCTCGGGGATCCCCGGCTCTGCGCCGCCCTGCGCCCTCCTCCGCCACGAGTCCCGCGCCTCCCGAGACCACAGGCAGGGCGCGCGGTCTGGGCCGGGCGGGTCCCGCGGGCCCTCCCGTCGCGCCTTTCCCGGGGCCGGGCGTGGCTTCCCTCCGGGGCGGGTTTCGGGGCCCGCCCCGGCGCGGCCCGGATCGAGGGACAGCTCTGCCAAGGCCGGGCCGTGGGCGGCCGCCGCGGGGGCATCGTGCCCGCTGCCAGCACGCAGGGGGAGAAAGCCCGCCCTGGTCCTTGGGTGCGCCCCGGTGCGTTTGCCTCTTCTCAGAGCAAATCAGGAAAAAATAGGGACTCCTGGGTGGGTGCCCGCTTGGCAGGTTGAAGAAGGTGTCCTGACAGGATCTGGCTCAGAATCCTAGTGTGTTAAAGCCGCGGGAACCTCGCCAAACCTGGGCCACCCGCCTCACCTTGGAGGTCCCGCCCAGGGGGGCAGGGACTCTCCACAGGTCCCAGAGCTCCTGGGCGTGGGCCGGCCTCCCACTCGGAGTGCATGCAAAGTGCCTAGAACAGTGCCTGGCGTGCAGTCAGCCCTCCGCTAACACTGCGTGTTACAGAACAGGTGACCCTGAGCGACAGTCAGGGCTTTCAACTGCAAGAGCACGATTATTCCAGAATTTTCTGCTGTCTCTGGACAGCAAGACCAACCCCCCTCTCCCTCCTCCTCAGCTTTCATGGCCGATCTACTTCCATTTATGAATAGTAAACATACTTTCTCTTTCTCGTGATTTTCCTATGAACATTTTCTTTACTTTCCCTTATTGTAGGAATACAGTATATAATACACATGACAGAAAATAGGCGTCTACCCAGTGTTTATGTTATCTGTAAGCCTTCCAGTCAATAGTAGGCTCTTGGTAGTTAAGTTGAGGCGTGGGAACCTGTAGTCCCAGCTACTCAGAAGGCTGAGGCTCGACGATTGCTTGAGTACCAGAGTCTAGGACCCGACTGGGCAACAGCGAGAACGCTGTTATTGAAAAAAAAAAAAAAACATTATTAGGCCGGGAGTGGTGGATCACGCCTGTAATGCCAACACATTGGGAGGCCAAGGCAGGCGGATCACGAGGTCAGGAGTTCGGGACCAGCCTGGCCAACATGGTGAAACCCCATCTTTACTAAAAATACAAAAATTAGCTGGGCATGGTCGTGCATGCCTGTAATCCCAGCTACTCGGGAGGCTGAAGCAGGAGAATCACTTGAACCCAGGAGGCAGATGTTGCAGTGAACCGAGATCGCGCCACTGCACTCCAGTCTGGGCGACAGAGCAAGACTCTTGTCTCAAAAGTCAAAAAAAAAAAAAAAATTAGTTTTGACCACTCAACACATGCATGTATTGTTCAATCAACTGTATTATTTTATGTGTATAATTCAAGGTATATCATTATATTTCTATATGCAAATTGATATAAACATATGCAAATTTATAAAAACATATATGCATATTTATATACCTGTGCCCGGTATTGTTCCAAGTGCTCCTCAGGTATTAATTATCTCATTTGATTTTCACAATCACACAAGGACATTTATCTCCACGTGGTAGCTGAGGAAACAGAAGCTCAGAGAAGCAAGGTAACTTTCGCAAGCGCACACAGCTAGGAAATACGAGGCAGGAGTTAACCCCTGACTCCCTAACTTTAGGGGCCGTGTTCAGATATTGGTGGAGTCTGGTGACATACTTACTATCATGGGTTTGGCTCTTCACAGTGTCTGGAGATCAAAGTGTTAAACTCAGCCCTGGGAGGAGGAGCCACTTTCCTTATGGAAATCTGCTACCCTTGCTAGCTCTGCTCCCGTCGCCAGAGGACCAAGCTTTCTAGTTGTCTCCGGGTGCCAAAGGGCCAGAAGAGAATCTCTGGCCACACTATTCTCCTTGTTAGCTCTCCCTAGGGCCCCAGAACCTGGTTTCTGCCTCCCACTGTTCCCCTTTCTGGTTTTGTAGGTGACACTTGCTGCTTTGGGTTGGGTTACCTTTAGCAAGGTTTCCCAAATACCTGTGAGCAGAGTAGGGCTGACTTGGGGTTCATTAGAATGTCTCGAGACACATTCAACCTGCAGATTCCCCAGCCCCTTTGAGAGCGGTGGTTCTGTACCTTGACTGCACATTGATACAGTGGACTTAAAGGGAATGGTCTTGCCTGAGCCCTCCCAAAAGATTCCGACTGGGTAGATCTGCGCTTCTGCCTGGGCATCAGGATTTCAGCAAGCTAGGTGGAGGTGGCCTAGGAATCTGTACTTTGAAGAAACGGTTCCTGCGATTTTCCTGAGCAGCAATGTTTGCAGACTTCAGGGTGGACTTCCTTCTCATTGGTGAAGAGTGCCCAGGATTTTCCCACCAAGGCGCTTTTGGAGTTAGAAGTTAGAGGTGAGTGCTGCTTTCGGAGTCTTGTCCCTTCTCAGCCTCTGCTGGCCCCTGCCTCAGTTTACTGGATTTGTGTCCTTACCAGGTACCAGCATTCCCCCCTCCCAGTGGGGTTCGTTACTCACAGGTTCTGGGCAGAGTGGCTCCTCCTCTGAGCTTTTCACCTGGAGTTGGACTCTTGAACTCTGAGGGCTCAGAGCAGCCAATGCTGGCAGCCCGGGGGCTCTCGTGAGCTCGCACGTCTGTCTGCTTCCCCGTGTGAGCCGGAGGGAGGGACTGCATCTCCCCTCTTCTGGGGCAAGGTGTTTCTCCTTGTCTTTCAGTATTGCATTCCACCCTGGAGTAACTTTTGGTCTGGTATCTCCCAGCTTCATTGCATTAATTACTATTTTTTTGAGACAGAGCCTCGCCCTGTTGCACAGGCTGGAGTGTGGTGGTGAGACCTCGGCTCACGGCAACCTCCACCTCCCAGGTTCAAGTGATTCTCGTGCTTCAGCCTCCTGAGTAGCTGGGATTACAGGCATGTGTCACCACACCTGGCTAATTTTTGCATTTTCGGTAGAGATGGTGTTTCACCATGTTGGCCAGGCTGGTCTCGAACTCCTGGCCTCAAGTTATCCACCTGCCTTGGCCTCCCAAAGTGCTGGGATTATAGGCGGGAGCCACCACACCTGGCCTGATAGGCTTTTTTGTTCTTCTTTGGGTACTAGGTGTTTCTCCTGGGTTCCAGATGTTAAGCTAGGAGTCTAGGGACCTGTGTTCTGGACTAACTGTGTGCCCTGGGGCATGCCATTTACCCTCTTTGACCCTCAGTTTCCTTACCTGTTAAATAGGTACCTCACAAGATTGCTGTGTGGTCCAAATAACACAGCCTGCAAAGATGTGCTTTGGTGACTGTGAGTGACACCAGTGCGACCCTGAAAGAGCTTTCTCTTGCCTAGTTGGCAGAGTGAGGGGTAATTGCCCTTTTCAGGAAACCCCCAAGATGTCAGCGGCTGATATGAAAGTCCCTAACAATGAGAGATCCTAGAATCCTGCCTCTGCTTCTCATTGAATCCGAGTGTACCCACTGAGTGCCTGCTGTATGCACCCAGCATGGAGCTGGCTGTGAGGTGATTCTGGCTGTAGGGCAGTAAGGCAGTCCACATAGGAGAATACGCATATCACGCTGGGGGAAAACCACGTGCTCTAAGCAGTGAATGCATTGGAATTTCAGCGGGGTAGTGCAGCCTACATGGCCAGCAATCAAAGGCTATGCAGAGGAGGAATCTGAACCAAACAAGCTCAGGGGGACAGGTTGGAATTGGGAGGGTGGAGGGGAGGATGAGGGCAAAGTGGCCCTGATGGGGGCTGCAGAGCGGGGCTGAGGGGAGGCCTGTGGGAGCGTGGCTTGGCTGCTTGCCCTCGCCCTGCTTCTCCTAGTAACCCGGCCCAGCAGGACTCACCAGCATCAAAAGCCTGTGTCACAACGAAGTCCTCTGAGTGAGGCTGTGGCCACCTCCCTTCCCACCTCTGTCTTTCTAAGCAAAAAGAAACATCCTTCTTTTTTTTTTTGAGACGGAGTCTTGCTCTGTCACCAGGCTGGAGTGCAGTGGCACGATCTCGGCTCACCACAACCTCTGCCTCTTGGGTTCAAGCAATTCCCCTGCCTCAGCCTCCTGAGTAGCTGGGACTACAGGCATGCCCCACCACGCCGGGCTAATTTTTATATTTTAGTAGAGATGGGGTTTCACCATGTTGGACAGGATGGTCTCGATCTCCTGACTTCGTGATCTGCCCACCTTAGCCTCCCAAAGTCCTGGGATTACAGGCGTGAGCCACCGCGCCCAGCCCAGAAACATCCTTCTTCTAGGAGCCTCTCCTGGAGGAAGACCTGGTGCCCCGTCTCTTTAGAATTTGCAGCTCCCTGGTAGCCATTTTTGGTGCATTTACAAGGAGAGATGAATAAGCCCCCTCCCATCCTGGGCCTTGCTCCTTGCCCCACTGGCAAGGGCAGGGGCAGGGACAAGGGCAGGACAGACAGTCTGGTATGCCCTGGTGTTGCCACAGCAATGAACGCTGCTTGCTGACCATAGGCTGAACGTGCTAGGTGGCAGGTCACCCCTCCCGGACAGCTGCCCTCCCCTGTAATTTTCTCTCTTTCACTCTGGGTTCTCTGGTGACCCTGCGCCATCTCCCTCTGTAACCTCCCCCACTCCCCACAGGATGCTGTGCCAGCGGAGCTTATCACCCGACCCTGAGCCTGCAGCCGCCACTGTTCTCACGCTTGGGAATGGAGCAACAGGGGAAATCACTCTGTTTGGAGCCAAAGAGGAAGGAAAGAGGGATGGGACTGGAAGGGGCAGGTGATGGAAAAAGTGACTTCCAGCCACTCCCTGGCCTGATCTGGATGACAACTTAGAGTGGTTGCCAGGGTGATAGCCAGACAAACGCCCACCCCCACCCCCACCACCAAACTGCATAATGGTAGTCGTGCCTTTTCCCAGCTCGAACCCCTCAGGCTCCTGCCTTGTGTGGAGTTCAGATTCCTCAGGCTGAGCTGCCCTTGCCTCAGTTTCCCAGCCTGACCAAAAGAAGCAGGTGGGGCCTCTGGGATAAAGAGCACGCACTGGCTGCTGGCTGTGTGCTCTGCCGACATGCACTCCACCCCATGCCCTGTGCCCCAGGGCTCATCAGGCTGACTTGTACACTGCTTCTGCTGGGCCCCCTGGCCCTCTGGATCCTGGTCAGCCAGCCGGAGGCACCAGCAGGAATTGGAGGGTGAGAGGGGAGTCCCGGGCACTCACTCCCTGCTGGGCTGCTGCTGGCCAGTGGCTGCTTCCCTTTCATGGAGGCTGCAGCTCTTGTCAGCAGCTCTGGCCAAAGCTCCAGATCTCCTGGCTGCGGCTCCCTGTTCCTTCCCCTGCTCCCCAGCCCTGAGAGGAGGGTGCTCGGCTCTTGCTGGCCACAGGGGTCTTCACTGTCCCTTGTTCCTTGTGGATTTCCCTCAACCCTGCCCAACCCTCCATGATAAGCTCCTCTGTTGAATTCTCCTTGGTCATCCCTTTTGGATGCATTCTCTGTGCTGTGGAGACCCCGACTGCTGCAGAGAATGTCTCAACAATGAGGGAGGAGGCCAGGCACGGTGGCTCATGCCTGCAATCCCAGCACTGGCCAAGGTGGGCAGGTTGCCTGAGCCCAGGAATTTGAGACCACATGGTGAGACCCTGTCTCTACACACACACACACACACACACACACACA